CTCAGCCAGTGAGTGGGAACCGGTCTATACGTGGGATCCGAACCCTCGGACGGGAGCGCCGCCGCGCTTCCCAAGCGGCGCACTATCCAGTGCGCCACCGGGCCGGCCCCACTAGTCATTTTCTATATCAGGGGCTGACAACCTTTTTTCTGTGAAAGACCAGACAGTAAATATTTTAGGCTCTGTGAACCAGACGGTCTCCATTGCAACCACTCCACTCTGCTGTCCTAGCGTGAAAGCAGCCACAGATGATCTCTGAACCAATGCACCTGGGCTGTGTTCCAATAAAACTTTATTTACAAAAACAGGTAGTGGGCGCCTGTTGAATTCTGCCACTGTTATCTCAAAGGACTCTCAGACCATCAATAGAACAGCGTTGGCATAAGCTTTAAAAAAGAAAAAAAGAAAACTACCGTGACAGTGTCTTTGCCCAGCCTGTGTGCAGGGCCACAGCCCATGGCTCTCACCTCAGCCGACTCTCAGGGAAAACTAGAAAAGAGTGAATGCACCTGCGAAGCACAGGGATGGGACGTTCTTCGGTCACACTTGCCACAGGGCCTACCTGTCACCATGGCCTTGATCTCATCGAGGACGGGGATCACTTTAGGTTTCAGATGTTCACTGATTTTGTCTCCCAGCAATAAATTAATATCTGAAGTCAAAGAAGCATAAGGGACCGTGAGGGGGGCTTGTTCACCTCCACAGTCCCACCCTCATCCTCCTCGCCCTGCGGGACCCCACTGGCCTGGAAAACCAGCTTCAGTCTCTGTTGCTGTGAAATCCCTCTTTTCATGCCAGACCCCGTTTAGGTATTGACTCTTGTGTGGAGATTTCATCACACACTTCCAAGTCCCCACACCAGCTGTCCCTCAGTGACAAAGTCACCTCCACAGACTGGGCCTTTATTTGTGCAGGAACATGGCGTTTTATCATCTTGAGAGACTGGGGATTCTCCACTGTGATGTTATTGACATATGGGGCCAGATAACTCTGTGGTGGGGGCTGTCTTGTGCACTGCAGGAGGTTTAGGTGCTTCTCTGGCCTCTGCCAAGAGATACTGGTAGCATTGCATGCCCCCCAACCCTGCACCTCATTGAGACAACTAAAAATGTCCCTAGATGTCACTGAATGTCACCCCCAGTTGAGAAGCACTAAGCTAAGTTGTATGTGACCTCCCTGTGGCATGTAGGGAATAGCACTGTCCACCAGTCCTCTTCCAAAGCCCACTGGTCCCTCTGAAACCTCACTTCTGTCTTGAACAGGGTACCCGACGGTGGCACACTGTCTGTGGCACACGGAGCATGAAGAACAAGCACTTGTGACTATGAGAAGGTGAAAGCTTTACAAAACAGTGTACAAGGAAAAAACCCCCAAAGTCCTGCAGAAACTTTCAATAAATGCTAGATTCTAATCATGGAGTAGCAAATTGCAAATTGTCAATAAGTCTAGGGAATTACCTTTTCTTTTTTCCTCTTACTTTCACCTACTTCATTTCTTAGTCCATGTTTTATGAGAGGTGACTATAGCATCTTTCAGCCAAAACAAACAAAGAAACAAACAAAAACTGGAGACAACCTTAAATTTTACTCACTGTTCAGATCTGAGAATGCTTTGTCCTTGGTGGTGTCGTACTGAGCCAATATATACTTAATTTGCTGGAAAAAAAAAAAATGACATGTAACCTGCTCTTCTAAAGTCCAAAGCCACAATAAAAAGACAATAACAGGGTATTTAACACAGAAATATTATCCTGAACCACAACATTTTAAAAAGAAATAACCAGCAGGTTCTTAGAGATTGTTTCTATCTTCTGACACCCAGACTTCTTAATAACACTCCAAAGCTTATACTGGTTTTGAACTTAATTTATTATTTCACACGATTCTGTGGATTGGCTGTGGGGATCTTCTTGTCGAGCCTGGCTTGGCTGGGGACAGGTGGGCCCTGCTCTCTCTCTGTATGGCCTCTTATCTTCCAAGCATCCAGCCTGGGGTGTTTTCACATGGTAGTCCCAGGGGAGGAAGTACCAAGGATTGGAGGTCATTTGCAATCTACCTCACTGGGTCTCTTTTATTTAGTGACTATTACCAGCTGGCCTTTGATGTGCCTGCCTATCTTCCTGTCCACCGTAGCTCTGCAGCCCCGTCTCCCCACGCCCTCTGCAACACGGGGTGTTAGCATTTTGAAATAACTACTGCAATCTTCTCAGTGAAAACGTGCATTGGTGTTGACATTTTCATTTCTCCAATTACTTGAGTAAGGTAAAACATCTTATTCTGTTTGGGGCCAGTTATGTTTCTTCTGTAAATTGTCTATGCACATTATCTGCCCAGTTTTTATAGACTTAGTAGAGTTCTTCATATATTTTGGACCAAGTTTCCCCCAAAAGTCATAACAATGTACTATTTTTTGAGATTATGAAAGCAATCCCAAACTTCACCAGCCATAATTGCCATCTTCATTTTGCCAAATTTTTAGGAAAAAAGTTTTTCTTTGGAGTCTTTGGAATGACAGGTAAAAAATATTATGATTTTTTTATTCACAGATTGGGAAAAAGAAACATTTCCCTCTGTTTACAGGCTATAAAAACTATGGATAAAATTGACTTCTCTATTCTCAATATTTTTAAATGCCTGCCTTTATTTCTAAGTGTTTTTTTTTAAAAATATTTACTGTTTTAATATTTTTTGAAAATATGTACTGTATTGATATTTTTAGAATATAATAAACTTGGAATAGCACTTCTTGTATGAGGAGGCCCGTGGATTCTGGGGACTCTTACTAGTGAATCCAGGAGGAGGGTGACCTCCTCCCCATATCGGTTCCCATAAGCATCATATATTTAGGTTGGTTTTTGCACAGACACACTCTTCAAAACAATGTTCAGGGGCCGGCCCGGTGGCGCACTGGATAGTGCGCCGCTTGGGAAGCGCGGCGGCGCTCCCGCCCGAGGGTTCGGATCCCACATACAGACCGGTTCCCGCTCACTGGTTGAGCGAGGCGCGGGAGCAACACCGAGGGTTGTGATCCCGTTGTTGCCGGTCCTGGTCCGGTATGGGCGCAACACTGAGGGTTGCGATCTGTTGCCGGACACGGAAAAAGACAAAAGACAAAAAAAAAAAAAAAACAATGTTCGGCATAGGTATGGTATCAACATGCTTCTGGGTTCAGCAATTGCATTCCTCTTCCCCAAAGACAACTTGTGTGGGTGTGTGTGAGTGTGAGCATGTGTGTGCTGTGTGTGAGGGAAGTGTGTGTGTGTGTGTGTGTCCTTCCCAAGGAATTTGACACACCTATACAGATCTTGGCAAATGGGTTTCATTGAAGAAAGGTTTTGTTACAAGAGCAACTTAATGCACAAACCATGGGGAGTTAACTATACTGCCAAAAAGAAAGGATAACAGCACCCAAAGACTTTTCTTTAAAAAAAAAAAAAAAAGAACAAAAACATGGGAACTTTAAAATTAAGTATTTTTATAATGTACTATAATTTTATGTTATATCTCAATGAAGCAAAATAAAATAAAAACACCATCTGAAATTATGCTTTTGTACTCTCTTGAAAATCACTTGCTGGGCTTTTATTTTTTCATCTACAACATTAAAAGATAACACTAGTCCCCATTGATTCACTGGGTTTCTAGAAGGTTCAAATAAGATTCCAAATATACACAGGAACTCTGAAAAGCCAAAAATACAAAGTGCCATAGGATATATAGATTGTGGTTTTTACCTCTGTAGGTTCATTCAGCAAAGTTCGCAAGTCTTTGAAATTGCTGTTTGCAAGTTTCCGAGTCTTTCTCACGCGGTTCCTTGCATGGCTGTTTGCCACGACACTGTAGAAGATACCAAAGCTGCAGGAAAAGGAAGGGGGAAAGGAGACTACTTACTGAGGAACCTGTGGCCATCTGACTTGCAGCAGGACAGCAATTTCCTCTGCCCCCCGCCCTCTCCTGGGACAGTCTTCTCGCTAAAAATGGGGCCACAAAACAGGACTCAGCCCTCTCAAAGACAAATTTCCACTTAAAGTATCCTGTTCAGAATGACTCTCTGAATGGCATACTGTTCACAATCAATGGTGGAGGAAACAGAAGTGACAAAGGTTACAAGGCAGCCTGCATGACCTAGTCCCACTCCTGCCCAGATGTGTGTACCCTCCCCTCCACGTACACACAGACACACGCACGACTCTGCTCCCCCAAAGACTCCAGGGAAAAACATCAGGATGACGGGAGTTACTTGGGCCTGCTAATGTTTGGTTCCTCTAATTGTCTGTTAGTTTCTGTATTGTCCGGGTTGAAAAGAAACAGTTAGTTTAGCATTAAAATGCTATATGAGAAGCCACACTCAATAGTTACTGGATTCTCTCACTTATATAAAGTACAAACACAAGCAGAATGAGGGTGTTAAAAGTCAGTGGTTATACTTGGGGTAGTGGTGGCTAATGGCAGAGCGTTCTGTTCGCAGGTGTATTCACTTCATGGAACTTCATGAACATGCACTCATGTAAAGGACGCTTTCCTCATATAAAATAGACTTCAATACAAAGTTCCAAAAATACCTATGAAAGGCATCTTGCAGGAAAAGCTACTTTACGTGCAAATAAAAAACATATTTTTCAAGCCATCTAAAATGTCTACATTTAATAATTTTTAAGAGTTCTTAATGTCGACTAGTTACTAACAATCCTTACACTCAAATTCATTCGACCATTTGGTTTATTTTGCGGCTTTGAACATTAAGATGTTAAATTTAAAAGTGCTAATTGCCATGGTCCTGTTGAATTTGGCCACTAGATGGCAGCAAAGAATTACATAAACTCTTAACAGCACAACACAAAGGTTTACCTACAGAAGCAAATAAAAAAACTGTTGGTAACCATTCAATGGAAGCTGTAGACATGTTTTTAGAACAAAGTTTTGTAAAGAACAGCCAAAGTTGGTGGAAAAAATTCAGATGCAGAAAATCAATACATGTCCGCTTCAGCAAAAGCAATGTCTTGGGCTTTAGACACACATATATTAACAGGTAGGGTGAACAAACATCCAATTTTTTGCACAAAAATCCTGTGTCTCCAAGAAACTTCTCAGTCCTGGGTTAATGGGGACAGTCACTCACCCCACTTACAGTATTAATACATTCTAAGGAGCATTGAGTCATGGCTGGTCTCACTTAAAACATTTTCCCATAGCAGTATTAAATAGATCCATTAAGTTTCCCAAACTGATCCCAAAAGTCTACATAACACGTAATGCTGAACAATATTTCCTGTGGTCAACAAGTTGCAGTCGAGTGAATGCTAGAGTAGGAACACAGAATATGGGTTCTAATCACCCTACTGCCACCAAGTCACTGGGAAGCTTAAGAAAGTCACTTTCTGCGAGTTTTAGTTGGTATTCTCAAAATTGAAAAGATCCGTTTAGATCTTCAGACCTAATTAGATAAATTAGATCTAATTTAGTTTAGATTAGTGTTTCTCAAGCTGCAAAGAGAGGGGTTACTGTGGATGTCCGCAGTTCTTTACTTTTTTTTTTTGGAAGTTTAGGTTCATTCTGATGGTAATCTTAAAAATAGGATATTAACAATATTCTGTGCCCTTTCGAATGACCACCTTATCATTCATTTTTGTCCGTCCTAAATTTGCATTGCTGTTTGTAAGGCAGACATTACACCATAGAAATAATAGTTATCAAATGACGCACTCATGCCAAATAAGGCCAAATGACTCAAAATAATGATTTTAAAGTTGTGTGAAGAGGAAAAACACGCTCACAAAAAAACAAGAGTTGAGTCACAGAATGCACCTGGACCACGATGCGTCAGGATCACCCTCTGAATATACCAGATACTCACACAGAGGGCCCTTGCTCTCTCCCCAGCATGTCCAAATCATTTCAGTCATTCATCGTACTCCAGACCCATTTTGTCATACAAGAAGACAAGGTGCACTTGGAAACAAATGCCACGTCCAAGTCCACTTCCACATGAGCCTTGCTCACTCCTCCGTCCATCCCCAGATAGAAGAATACCCTTGCCTTAAACTCCCAGAGGGTCCTCCCTCAAATTCTGATGGGGTATTTCTCACTTCATACTCTAGTTTGTTTTGATTTCCACCTGTGTTTAATTTCCCAAAAAAGAGGTGGAAACTGCTTCTTTGCGGCCTTTGCATAATGTAGTGTTGTGCACAGCGGGTGCTCAGTGAAATGAGTTTAAGCAATGGGCTTTGGTTTCACTTGGTCTATTTAGAAGACTAACAGTATGTTTGGAGTCTCTAAGTCAGAAACTGTTTTTATTCCCTCATTGAACAAATGCCTTTATTCATGAGATCACCATTCAGTAAAATCAATTGCAATACAGCATTTCAATATAACATTGAATTTCAATGCTACGTATCTAAAAATACCTCCATTTCTGTTCATCAATAATGAATCCAATTAAAATAAAAGGATTAATAATTTTTAAAAACTGTACTAAAGAGAATTCTGAAAGAGTTCAGCGAATTTCAAAGCTGATTTTCAGACCTGTACACAGTGTAAATTTTATATTTAAATTAAGGATAACAAGTCCAGAGGCAGAAAACATGAAGAGAAAGTGGGTGGCATGGGGCTAGGGGAGCTGGGAGTCAAATGAGGGGGTGGGGGCAGCTGCTCTACAGTCCTCAAAGTGCCACCGTGATGGCAGAGCAGTAGCATGACATCTTCCCAATCTTCCCATTGTCCACAAAAATCTGGAAATCTGGATTCCTATGTGAAATCTCCCTATTTTTAAATATTAGCAACTAATCAAACAAAAAAAAAACTTTAAATACTATACAGACCAATGGTTGGTCTCCATTTGCAATCTCTAATCTAAACCTTCTATTTAAACACAAACAGAGAATAAAGAAATTATGCTTTCTGTTGTTGATTTATATACTCCCTCTTATTCAGTGTATATTAAAGCAAAAAAAAAATTACATGAATTAATATTTTATTTTTTAACAACCATCGGTCAACTATTAGGATATAAGCCTACTAAGAGAAATTTAACACACAAAAGGAATAAAATTCCAGTAGGTATCAGTTCTCTGGCATTTGATATAAATGCCTCTAAACTATCAAAAACATGTGCTTTTATACTACAAAAAAAAATCTCGAATTTTTAGCAGAAGATAGGAACTTTTATTTTTATGGCATGTTAACCTTACATCCTCTATATTTTATTATAGAAAAAAAATTTTCCTCATTTATAAATAAATACAGCTTTTAAAGAGTAAAGCCTTTATAATTAGTAGCAATTTTTTCTCCTACCAATTTCTACTGACTTAATGAAATTAAGCCAATGAAAGTCAATAAATGCTTTCAGGCTGTAACTGATTTCTTATTTTTAAAAAATAATGTTTAATTTAAATTTTAAATAACTAGACCTCTCATTCACATTAAGAAAGTCTCATGATTTTCAAGCATGCCATGGCTCACTTTTTTTTTTTTTTTTTTTTTTTCCTAGAACCTTGTAACCTCCAAGCCAGGAATGGGCAATCATATCCTAGTATAAAATGAACTTTGAAAATAGCCAGCTTCCTGAAAATGATCGGGATTCTCACCACAGTAATTGTTAGCAAACCTGACTTATCATACTCAGAATCTTAGACATACACAGAAGAAGTCAAGGCATGGCTATTTTTTTTTTTCTTCTTCCAAAACCTTTCTGAAATACCAAAAAATGCAGTGAGGACAAGTGCAAAAAAAAGAAAGGAGAGGAAACCTGGCTTTTTCTGGAGTAAGGCACATCTGCTTAATCAGTCAACAGCGAGAGGTGGAAATTCAATCTTCTGTTGATGGTCAAGCAGACGACATAAACATACGTCAATGTCTAACATTCTGCAGCCGCCTTTGTAAAAGCTCAAACAGAGAAAGAACATGATCACACACATTAGAGAATCTTTCTCCTTAACACCTACGCCCTTCTCAAAACTGAAAAAAAAAAAGATTTAAAAAATTTTAATAAAAAAGGATGGATGAAAAATTAGAGCACTCAAGACTAATTTTAAAACCAACTTCTTTTAATCGTAACATTTAGAGCCACAAAAATGAAATTAAGTCCAATAAAAGGCCAGTGAACTGCTCTGGGTTTCTGAACGACTTTTGTAAAATACCATACACAAAGATCATTTAACAGCAGTAACTAATCTCTGCTGGGGTTAGCGTAAGCTCAAGGCCCTGAGTTCAACAAGAGAGAGAACTCCACTAACAACACCTTTTTTTCTCTTTCTGTTTTCTATTTCTGTTGACATGCTTTCCCCTCTTATTTTCTTCTGCTTTTGTTGACATACTTTCTTTTACATCTATTTCATCTACTTTCATTTACATCTATTTAATTTATAATTTATATATAAATTCAAGGTACTATGTGAAATCAAATTAGTTTTATTTTGTCACTTAACTTTGAACAGTTGACCAATCTTAGTTTAATTATTGAAATCTAAAATTATGATTTTCAAATTAATGTCTTACTTGGGTGGAAAAAAATTTTAATTGTATGCGTAGGATGCTATCGGATCACAGCATGTATTTTTTAAAATAATTTTCTAAACTAAAATATACTCATGAAAAACTTACATAAATTTATTTGATGGGTCTGAATTCTCAAGAATAAAACAAAAATTGTACCATTCATTTTATGTATAAATGAAAGCCAAGTTTATTTGGCTTTGTAGCTTTATTGTTTATATATTTCGGCATTTTAAACATACTGTAAATAGTTGAATTAGTTTAGAGTAAACTATAATCATATATGACACTTGATTATATGTAATGCTGATAAAAGTCCAATTTAAAAAGAGAAACCAGTACAGAATATATGTGCCACTCAAAAAAAAAAAATTGAGGGCCGGCCCGGTGGCGCACTGGATAGTGCGCCGCTTGGGAAGCGCGGCGGCGCTCCCGCCCAAGGGTTCGGATCCCACATACAGACCGGTTCCCGCTCACTGGCTGAGCGAGGCGCGGGAGCAACACCGAGGTTTGTGATCCCGTTGCCGGTCCCCGGTCTGGTACGGGGGCAACACTGAGGGTTGCGATCCGTTGCCAGACACGGAAAAAGACAAAAGACAAAAAAAAAAAAAAAAATTGAAAGCCCATTATTACATATGTAAACATTTATTCAAGTAAATGAATACCTACATGTAAAAAAAACTTCCTGAAATTACAACATATGTATTTACATCAGGTGAAAACTATTAACTTGTTAAGTAAGTAACCACTCAAAAAAGAAGTCTTAAAGGCAGTATTTTCAGATGACACTTTCCCATCTGAGCCTCACCTTTGACATCCAGGGTGTATGGAAGAGAGATACATGGCCATCCAAGTCTCTGGATAAATGAAGCATTTAAGTCTAGGCTTAGAGGGAATGCACAGGGATCTCTGTTGAGTCTGACAAGTCTTTGGGATGTTACTGACATTCTCTGGTAGCTGGGGAGGAGGTATCTACCCCTAGGGGTCTGTGCATTCCTGAGAGTACATCAAATGCAAAGCAGACACAGACAGGAACGTCTGGAATTACCATTGACCTGATATTAAGCTGCCTTTCAGAATCCAATGTGAAGAAACAGATTCAAATTATTTTCAGAGACAGAGACAGAGGCAGAAAAAAGCAGAGGCACAGAAAAAAGACATAAAGAGAGAGACAGAAACAGAAGAAGACAGACAGAAAAGAAATAGAGAAAGAGATGCCAGTTTCACAGAACAAAAGTAACTCTCTGGTCAACCAACTGCGTGTGAAGTTAGCTAACACATTCACTTGGATCCTGTTTATACATTTAAACACGTATATATTTTCAAGGTTTTTTCGTGTGTGGGTGTGTATGTGTGTGGCTGACCAATACAGGTATCAAACCCTAGACCTTGGTGTTACCAGCATCATACACTAACAAGTAACCAGCCAGTCCCACATGTGTATGTAAAGGTCAATTATTCCACTATTTTCAGCAAAAGTATGTTTTTGCTTAAATAGTCACTGCCCTGGGAATAAATGGTAATGCATTGGCTTTTGTCTGTTGTGGGGATTTTTTTGTTGTTGTTCAAGTTATTAATTTTTAGTTTAATTAATTCAATAGTAATACCCAAGACTGGTGCATAATTCAACAGAGACAAAAAGACTAGCAACAGTCAGAAGTGAGCTCCTTTCCTTTCCCTCCACGACTCTCAATTTCCTTTCTGGAGGGACCCACAGTTGCCAGTTTCCCGTCAATCCTTTCACATATGCTTTCTGCAAACATAACTGAGTATTTGCGTCTCCCTCCTTTTTTTGTTTTTTATCATAGTTACCAGGTTCTACACATGGTCAGCAACTTGCTTTTTTCACTCATCTCTTTTGGAAACTGTTTCATATCAACATGTCTAGAGCTGCCCAATCCTTTTCAATGGGTACATTGCATTCCAATGAATGGTCACCCCAAACCGTGTATCTTACCTGACCCCTGCTGACGGCTACATTTAAACACTTTTCTTCTTGGATTTGCAGCTGGCACTTCAGCTGGTAGGCCTTACTGTTTTGGGCTTAAATTTCTGAATATCACTTACTTACTAAACTGAAAAACCTTACTCGTGGCTACTGAGTAACTGGGGTTCTTGGAGAAATGACCAGGAGGATTGTGATGGCCAGCACTTGTTGTCCCTGTGTCTCCATTAGGTCGAGCATTACTCATGTAGTAGGCACTTTATTTCTGTTGCTGTATGAAACACTGATTGAGTAAATGAGGAAATGTGGAAGAATAACCAAACATCACAACAAGAAGACCAGTATCATGATGCACATTCCTCAGCTGAGGAATCTGATTTGGATTCAACAGAACATCGTTGTCATTTTAAAAGCAACGTATTTCTGATCTGTCAGTCAATTGAAAAAGTTTTGGCAGCAGCAGGAGCTGCAGTGGAAACATCCTGAATCATGACTTGTGTTCCAGACTTCAAGAGAGGGTAGCAGATTAACGGCAAATTCAAGAAAACTGGGTTTATTATGAAAGTTGATTGTATTCTACAACATTTTCAAATTCCCAGATTCAGGGACTGCACCCATCCATCAAGATTCCTTTGGAATCAACTAGCAAATCAATAAGCAAGTACAGGCTCTGCCTTCCTGCACGCTGCCTGTCTCCAGCTATTTGGGAGAAAACTGCTGTCCTGGGAGGTAAATGCTTTTTTCTGCAGTCCCAGATTTATCAGCACATCTTCAAGAGAAAAAAATACCAAAGGGCTGACTCATCAGTTACATTAGGACAGCTTCATTACAAGCTAATTTCTGGCAATAGGGACGTCTTTTTGAATCATCCCAGACAAACACTTCTGTTCTCCCTTTTCTGTTTTGTTTTTTTGTCATTGTTGTTGCTGCTGTTGTTTTGTTTTGTTTTGTTTTGTTTTGTTTTTTAAAAAAGATGACCGGTAAGGGGATCTAAACCCTTGACTTGGTGTTGTCAGCACCACACTCACCCAGTGAGCAACCGGCCATCCCTATATAGGATCTGAACCCGTGGCCTTGGTGTTGTCAGCACCGCACTCTCCCGAGTGAGCCACAGGCCGGCCCATTGTTTTAAATTCATGTGCTTAACAGTTAAAATATAAGACATCCCTCATCCCCCCACCGGTAAGGGGATCTATTTTTTAAAAAAGATGACCGGTAAGGGGATCTAAACCCTTGACTTGGTGTTGTCAGCACCACACTCACCCAGTGAGCAACCGGCCATCCCTATATAGGATCTGAACCCGTGGCCTTGGTGTTGTCAGCACCGCACTCTCCCGAGTGAGCCACAGGCCGGCCCATTGTTTTAAATTCATGTGCTTAACAGTTAAAATATAAGACATCCCTCATCCCCCCTAAAACACAATCAGTTGTTGTCCAAGAGTCTACTTGCCTTATAATTAAACAAATGGCCAAGAGGGAGATTGCAAAATATTTCCTCAGGAAGAGCCCGTTTTTCTTCTGTCGCTGGTGCATTTCTCCACCACATTTGTTAGAGCAACGACATATAAAAAAGAAACACCCCACCACAGGCATCAGAATAATAAAGAGCAGCCCGAGGAGAACACATATAAGAATCCCCATCTCATAGTAGGCGACCTGCAATTCAAACAAAAGAAAAGCATATACTGTGATGCACAATAATAAATAGAACATCTTATAGTGTACACATTTCATTTTTTTAACTTATTTGCCATCATGACTTGAATCTTAATGTGTGTGTATATATATATATACATATTTTCCACCTTGAAGCTCCTTCCTGAAACAGAGGAAGCAAAGAACTGAGTTACTGAATATGAAACCAAATGGTTACTATCTTCCTTTCAACTCCCAGGAGGATGTCCAAATGCAGGGTCAAGCTGCAAATGGCTTAATTTCAACAGAAAAGGTGTTTTGTTTGTAAATGGTTTAATAAAATCTTGGCAGAAGTACTTACGTAATGAATAATCTACACAGAGGATACTTCACACCGGAAAGATAAGACAAGTCGAAGTTATTGAAGATTTGAAGCAATTTGGATTGGAACAGTTAGTGGCAAATTCATAGTTAAAAAAGAATTCGGAATACATCTTACTATTTTTTTGAAAAAGGGTAGGATTTTAAACATGTTAAACACAGGCCACTCTGTTTCTCCACCCATACACTGAAAATAGTAATACGTACCTTGTCAGGTCATTGTGAAAATCAGAGGTGATGCACATTTAGAGATAACGTGCCAACTAAAGTACCAGGCATAGGGTAGACACATCAGAAATGGCATCTCCCATGCCATGCCCATGAGGCACATCCCCAGTAAAGTACTGGGCTTGGCAGCCCATGTCTTGGACAGTTCCTAAGTTCCTAGGAACCAGCACAACTTCTGGATACAATCATATGACCTAAACATATTTTCATAGTCACTGCTGGCTTTATTCCTGGATAAATGAAAATTAATGCAACTAGATGATGAAACTTAATGTTGTTCCAATTCATGCATGCAGTTCCTCACATATCTAAAGAATGGTAGAAAATTGCAGGTTGGCAGTTTGCAAGTAATGGACCAACTAGATGGCAATAGGTCCTGAAGCCAAGCTGAGCAAAGCAAAACAAAATGCAAGTCTTGTTCCTAGAAGCAAATATAATGTCTTGCAGGAGAGCTCTGGAATTGGACTCAGGAGACCTCATTACATCCCAGCAGGTGGTGTCTAGTTCCCTAACTGGGAAAGTGTGACATTAGCATTAACCTCATAAGCATATTGGGAGGGATAGATAATTCAATGATTTAATGTGAAAACAACTATCCAAGTGCCCAGCACACAGTAAATATTCAAATAAATAGTGGTTAACTGTATGACCAAATGCTCAAGAGTATTAAGTCAGCAGCACATGGCACTTGAATATCATCTACTTCAATATTAAGATTAAAATGCTAAAAAGAAAAAAAAAATGTGGCCAGATTTTGGTGCATTTATCAAGTGCACACTCGTGCTTTAGCTACCCCCAGTCTCATGTCCACGAAGAATCATTATTAGCCTATTCTTTAACCATTCCTTGAGAACTAACATCATTGGCCATTTAAGAAATCAGTCCAGATGCTCCAAACTCTCACCTACATTTTTGCTATTATTTCTCAGATACATATATATATTTCTCAGGATATTTATTCTAAGTTATTTACTATTTTAAAGGCATTTTAAGTCCTTTTTGAATCCAAGAAGGCACTGAACCCAAACCTAGGAGACAGGAGATAATAAAACATTTTTTTCTTTTTTTTTTCCCCCTTTTTGTCTTTTTTCGTGACCAATAACGGGATTGCAACCCTCGGTGTCGCGCCCGTACCGCGACCGGCAACAGGATCGCAACCGGCAACGGGATCGCAACCGGCAACAGGATCGCAACCCTCGGTGTCGCGCCCTCACCACGCTCAACCAGTGAGCAGACCGGTCTCTATATGGGATCTGAACCCTCGGTGTCGCGCCGCCGCGCTCCTGAGTGCGCCACCGCGCTCCTGAGTGCGCCACCGGGCCGGCCCAATAATAAAATGTTTTAAATGCACTCATTTTAGCTCCAAATACAAATTTTATATTTTACACACAGCCTTTCTGATGGTATTGACTAAATGTCAGACAGTATCAGGAACAATATATGTCATTTCAGGAGTTCACTTCTAGGCTGAAATCTAGCCAAGGTCTGGCAGTGCTTGAATTATCTTCTGGTGCACCAATATCTTTGATCACTTTGTAGATTATGCCGAAGATGAGGCTGAGATTTAAATGTACAGAGATATGTCACTATCCATTTGTGAACTATTAAAATTAAAAGGGAAAATTAAAGATGATGGCAGAAACAAAAAATCACACGGTGAAGACCACCGTGAAGAACAAAGCGACAGAAGTGTCACCACCTGCCAGCTTTAGACACACAGCAACAGGAACCAGTCAGCAGACCTTACCTTCAGAGCCAAGATCACACTTTCTGGCTGTGGGAGGCAACGCAGTTGAGGAATTTGTGTGTGGCAGAGGCAGCATGCATCAAGAAAACAGACAGAAGAAGTCACATGAGTGATTAACCACAACACGAACTGTAACATCCCGCACAGGGAAAACCAAGTGACAGAAGGATCAACACCAGAGAGCAACGTAAAACTTGAGGGTGCATCAGAGAAACAGTGTTTTGAGTAGAGTCGAGTTCTGGAATTCACATTTGAATTTACATTTGGATTTCTTGAAAGGCTCTTTATCAGTATGCTAACCAGTTATGGAAAGGAACTAGAGGGAAAGTTACAAATGCTGAACACACTAACCATGAGATGTTCATAAAACAGAGAACCAGCGGCTGCCTAGAATCCCAGAGCCAAAGGCCACAGCTTCCAAAGTGTCCCTTCTAAAATAAAAGTCTGATGGTGTCGTTCTCCTGTTTAATAGTGCTCAGTGTGGTATATTAACTAATCTGTTCCCGACCATCTTGGTCCCCAGAAAGTGTCATGTGCTCTCCCCTTTCTCACACCGGGCTCCCACGCTGCCTCCTTGCTCAGAACATTATTCCTCTGGCGAAACTCAAGTCTCAGCGGAGGTGCTGCCTCCTCCAGGAAGTCAGGGTTTGCTGTACATCCCTCTTTCACACTGCCATGGACCCCTGCTCTTACGCTCCTACTGGCCATGTGTCACCTCCCTCTGAGAGGGCAGGAAACAAGTAGCTGTCACTTACCTCTCACAGACATGCAGGTGGGATCCAAATATTACAAACCCCCTTATATGATGGCCTGACATTTACTAAGTGCGAAGTCAGTGTCCAGTGTCTGTTGGTGCTAATGAGGTCTTTAAAAGCATGAGGCATGAGTCCCAAGCCCTGCATCTGTCCCCAGAGGAAGATTCAAGAAAGGGAAAGGAAGCAACTGAGGACTGAAATGAATGGGGAAGAGACAAACTGGCTAAATCCAAACGGGAGTCAACCGAGAAGCAGGAGAGGAGATAAACCATGACCACGTGGAAACTAATTCAGGAAACCATGACAAAGAACTTCACGATTCTTACTGACAAGTGACCTTCAGAACTACAAAGACGGCAGGTGGAAGGGTTGCTGGGGAGAACTGTCTCCTAAAAAGATTTCTTCAGGAGTGGGTGGCACATATGGGCTATAAGTAGGAAGTAATCGTAGGTCCTCTACCTAAATTGCCCCAAACCAGGCATTTTGTAAGAGCAGGAATTGTGTCCTTCTAGTCACTACTTGACAGGCGCTAGGCTGAGAGCCTTTCTATGCAGAATCCCCACGTGAGCGTGTGGTTGGGGACATCATGTCATTTCCCCTCCTAGACAGTGAGCCAGGATTCAAGAATGTGGGGAGTGGCTTACCCACTCTCTGATTCCCCAAGGGAATGTATGCAGGCCCTCTGCAATATGGACTATGCATGGCATGGCTCAGTTTTCTATCTTGAACCCAGGACTTAGCACACAGAGGGCATGCTAAATGGGATGGATAAATGAGCTTCCCATGTAATCTCCACCTTTACACCTCTGGAGGAGACAGACTATTCCTGTGAAGATGGAGTGAGTTAACATTGTAAATCATGGAGAAGGGTGCCTGGTATACAGCACGTGATACAGAAACACTACAGCTAGCATTCCTGTTTTAGGAAACTAGGATTATTAGGGTTGTTTCTCAGATCTCTGTAGCTTCATCTGTCTGGTCCACATTTTTCCTCATGGGCCCAAAATTCCAAGTCCTATTACCCTCCTGGACTTGGCCCCACCCAAGACTCCACTAACCCAGCTCTGGAGTCTATCACAGGTTCTCTGAAATCAAAGGCCAACGACAGAAATGCTCAAGGGGACCGATCTGCAGAGCCACTGCATTCAGTGCCAGTATTCCATCCTTAGCAAGTCAGTGTTCCAGGCACACTGGAGTAGAGCGTTACTTGGGATGTGATCATTGCTGCCCAGAGATAACTACCCACTATAATATTTTGTGGCTTAATATGTAAAATGTATAGCTCTAAGGCCGTTACACTCTTTGCACACATCTGAAGATACTCGAATGAGAGCCATTTTTTTCCAAATGAGTCATTTTAGGGCTACAGCACAGCGGCCTAGAATGAGGCTCATTTTTGTTGGCGGTGTGCTGGTCAGAGTTGGGCTGTTCTGGGTACAAATCCTAGCTTTGCCATTTAGCCACTGGATGGCGGTAGGCAATCTCCTTAGCTTCTCTGACTGCAGGATTTTCTTGCATCTACAATGACAGAAGTACTTCCTCCTTGGAGGTGTGTCACTGTGAGGATTAGAAACAATACAAAGCTCCTAACCCAGTGCGTGGCGCATGGCAGACAAGAAATGCTGGCTGCTGTTATCACAGAGAGGAAGATGCACAGTTTAATAACGTGCTTTAAGAAGCAAGCGGTGAGCTTTGTGCTTTGAGCCAAGTGTTCTCAGATGGAAGTACGGCTTTCCTTCTCATTTTAGTTTAAATGCCAGCTGCATTGTGGTCTTTCCTGATTTCCCCAAGTGCAAGGACACTTTCCCTCTTCTGAACATTCACAGCCCTTTATCAGAACTGCTGCCTATAGGATGCAGATCCCTCTCCATCTCGTGTTCTAGTGATCCACTGTCTTAGTCTGCTTGGGCTGCCCTAACAAAGGACCAGAGACTGGGTGGCTTCAACAAGAGGCATTTATTTTTCCATAGTTCTGGAAGCTGAAAAGTTCAAGGTTAAGGTGTCAGCAGCTGTGGTCTCTCACACAGCCTCCCTTCTTGGCTTGTTGATGGCTGGCTTCCCGCTGTGCCTTCATTCAGTCTTCCCCCATGTAATTCTGTCCTCAAGTCCCCCTCTTCTAAGAACACCATTTGCATTGACTTAGGGCCCACACTAATGACCTCATTTTAACTTAAGTCACCTCTTTAAAGGCCCTGTGTCCAAACACAGTAACATTCAGGGCTGGCCAGTTAGTTCAGCTGGTTAGAGAATGGTGTTGATAACACCCAGGGTCAAAGGTTTGGGTCCCCATACCAGCCAGCCACCAAAAAAACCAATTAATTAATTAAAAAAAATACAGTCGCATTCTGAGGTTCTGGGGGTGGGGACCTTAACACAGAATTCTGGACACATAGCCCATAACATCCATGCCCACGACTTGTCGCTTGGCCTCTCTTTCGCCAACTGCAAGTTCATGGAGGAAGGGCCGTGCTCTGGCATGTCCATACCCCTACCTGCTGGGCATATGGGCATTTATGGAGATAAATGCTGATTCAATGACTACATTAAGTAAAAGAGAGAAAGCATCAGAAAAAAAAAGTGTCAGGGAGGAGAAGAGACCCAAAGACCTTAAAGTACTACTTTAATCTTCCAGCAAAAGTGGGGAAAGGAGGCTGTTCTGTGAAGAGTCCTATTTCCCTCCTAAAGTCAGAGACACCCTCCAGAACAAAAGGTTTGCATTCCTGAATGCTTCTGGACCTGCTTATGAAGAAAGTTCCCTGAAAGAGTCCCCAACCATGAGATCACTGACTCGGCTACCTCTCTGGGCCACCAGAGGGTCACCAGATGATAAAACAGAGCCAGGACAGTGAGAGCTGAAAAGACTGGAACCCTGGACTACCCACCAAGACAGAAGTCACCTGTGAGGCTGCACCCAGTGGGCACCGGCCAGAGTGAAGATGCTCTGCTGCCCACGCATGTGCCTCGGGCTTCGCCACCTCAGGGAGCCTCTTCAACTTCTAACTACTGGTATCTTCAACTCTGTGCTCCAAGGCTTTTACCAGAACCATGGAAAGCCAGAGGTACTTAGGAATTAACACCATTTCCTGCTCCCAACTAGCCCTCAACCAGTGAGTGCCTCTGCATCGTGGTGCATAGACAGCTCAGCTCTCTGACTCTTCCCATGGGAGGCTGGTGTTCTGCTGGTTTCCCACAGCTCATCTACAAGATGAAGCTCTGTCACCCCTGTGGCAGGTGGTATAACAGCACCCCCTCCACAGGCTGCCCTCCCTTCCCCAGCCAGTGTTCCCTGCACCTCCCAAATGAACAGCTTGCACTTGAGTCCTTAGCTCAGGGTCTGCCTCAGAGGGAATCCAACCTAATGTGCACAGCACTCATCAGACTAAATCCAATCAGAAAGCTCCCCTCCAAAGGTGGCTGGCTTCTTTGGCGTCTTTGCTCACCTAAATCCCTTTTCCTTGGATAACTAACTGTAGAAAGTGTGACCAAATTCCACATCTAGGGGAGGACTTGGTTCATTCATGTGGGCTCAGTTCTGTATCGTCTCTCCAGTTCACCCTCACCCCAATAGTTTTATTCATTTGCAAAGGCATGGAGTGGAAATCAGGAGCACAAAATCTAATACCAAGCCAAGCATAAAGGAGCTGTCCAGCCAAGGATCCTGCAGTGGACAGTGGCAGCCCAGCTCCCCTCATACTTGCCAGGCTCCTTGGAGTCAGCTCGGGGGTCTCGGGACCTTGTCCTCCAAGGTCTGAATCTGACTGAAGCACCATTCCCCTATTCCCACCCATTCCTTGAACAAAGTAGTTGGCCAGGCTGCTAATGGCATGCTAATTTTTAAGATAAATCTAAAAGCAACCATCATTTTATTCTGCCCAAGGGTGCAAGCCGATATGGCAATTGTGTTTGGGAGACAGAAGTGAAGCCAGTGGCACCGAAGAAGGAAAACGCTTTCCACGGCACTAGGGAGGCCGTAAGCACCAGGGGACAGCTCGGTCATCATCGTTCACACAGGCCTCCCTGTTGCCGAATGTAAATGGCTTTTAGATAAGGCTTTCCACTTCGGCTTCTGCATTCACTTCTCTCTTACAGTGTCATTTTATTGCAAGATGAAAATACAACGAGGCCATTTGTAACTGCAGTATCTGAGATAAACATTCACTGGGCAAGAGGGAACCGCCCTCCCTGCATGGGAGCACGAGCATTCAGTTATGAGGTGCTGGCCAGCAAAGAACATCCACCTGCATGCCTGCTATTGCTGTCTTGACGTCCATCTTCATACCAGGAAAGGAAAGAAAAAAGTGCCTTCCTTACCCTGCAGGACTGAGAACCTGACAAACAGAGGTAACTAATTTGTATTATCCTACATTCAACGCAACAAACATTTGTCTGTTTCACGGGCAACCTACACTCATAACAAACCAAAACCCAAAGAACATTCTTCTCCTAGGTAGTCAGTAGTAGAAGCAAATGGGAATTAATAGCACCTGGAGACTTCCTGAAAGTACCGTCCACTCACCTTAAGGAGGCATCCAAGGCCTCCCGGGGTCAGGCCCAACTCACCTTCCTTCCCAGCTCTCTCCCCTTCCCACATGGCTCCTGCTGTCTGGAAGCAAGCAGAGCCCCTCCCTACCCACCCCAGACCCCTTCACCTATTTACAACAAGCCCCAAAGTCACCTTCTCTCGGAAGAGCTTCTGGTCAGAATTTAAATTAACTATTTTTCCGCACATTCCTCTGCCTGTTACTTATAGATCTACTCATTTCCTTCTTGTATGAATCACTAGGTACAGTCCCTGCCATGCGGCTCCTAGCCTCTGGAGATGGAGGGCTGCGTTCCTCACCTCTGTCTCCTTCCCATTCTAGCCAGGTATACACACATAGCGCTGCTCAGTGAACACTGCTCAAGTGGGAAGCTACCTTTCAACAAGCTATCATTTAAAATGAAGTACACCGTCACTGTTTCTAAGGATTTTCAAGCACTTCTACTCTGGAAGTTCTCTTCCCATGGCTAAAAATGTAGCATAACATTTCTATTTAGGAAACGTTAGTTTTGAAATAACATACAGCTTGAAAGGTTTTCTTCAAACGCTACTTTTGAAATTTCTGCAGAAGGGAGGGGAAGTGGTGGATTAAGAGGTACAAAGCTACAGGGAGATAGGAAAAATGAGCTCTGGTGTTCTAGGCTGACTAGAGCTAATAATACTATACTGTATATTTCTAAGTAGCTAGAAATGAGGAACTTGACCGTAATCACTACAAAGAAAAGATAAGGGGATGGACATGCTGTCTACCCTAAATGAATCATTGTACGATATATGCATGTATGGTAGCAACACACTATACCCCATAAATATGTATGATTAAATTTTAAAATAAAATAAATCTTAAGTTTAAATTAAATAAAAAAGAAATGTCTGCTGTAGTTCAAATGGGATCTATAAGGTGGTTCAATATTCTATAAAAGCTCTCAATCAAAAAAGGTTACTAAAATTACAGATTAAATAATCAGTTGTTCAAAGATTTACTTTCAAGTCAGCCAAAACTTTTCTCATGCTTTTTTTTAATAGCACATACATCAATAAAAAATTACCTTCTCATAATCAACTGTGGGCTCAAACTTCTTCTGTATGATTTCTCTGAAGACATCTGGGAAAAAAAGCCACAAAACAACAGCAAAATTATTTCTTCAGTAAAAATATAAAATAAATATATTTTTTTAAAAGACACAAATGCTCATATTATTATACCTATATATAGTATTCTTATAATTTTATTCTTATTTCTTAATGTATGTGAATAATTGAATTAATGAGCCTCTAGCCAGAAGCAAAAAGTGGAGGACAAATATTTTTGATTTATTATTTTGCCAGTGGCAGAATTGGAGTGTTGCCATTTTTAAGAGTTCTGAATTTCTCGCAGTACACCTTAGTGTTTACCAGCAAACCAAACACAGCTCATTAATAATCACTGATAAACCATTACATTGAAATTGCTGATTCTTAATTATTTGGAACCACAAATCCAATTTATCTTCCAACGACTCTTTGTTAGCATAATATTTTACAAATAAAAGTAATCTTAAAATTAACCCAATCCAAGAGTTCTTAACATTAGAAATCCCTCTCTTCCCTTCTACAAGTAGTGCACAAAAACGTGGAAATGCTAAGCAAAATTGGACTTTTCTGTGTATATTCATTTTAGGCATTTTCAAATTCTCACATAGGTCTGGGACCAAAAAAGGGCAAGAGCCACTTCTTATTCTGAGCCACCATCTAGGAATGATATAAAACAAGTGAGGCCCAGAGAGAGTGACTTGCCTAAGAATCACATGGTGATTCAGGAGGAGGCCAGTCCAAGGCTTCCTTCCCCTGTCCAGGGTCCTTCCTATCACACTGAACACTGTCTGTCAACCAGCAAACAACTGCATCATCATGCCTCAAGTGCACAACCAGGGGGGAAAAGAAAACACACAGCAACTCCTTTTTTAAAACAAGTTCAGATTTACATGCTGGACAAAGGCAAGCCACTTCCCAACAGGGCTTTCTGGAAAACACTTTGCTCCTGTACAGAGCAAAGACACCAGTGGATGTTTAAAGATTACGCTGCAGAAACAAAGATTTTTAAACTGGTAGGTACCCTGTGAACCCTAAGAGCTCCTCCACAGTATGACAGTATGGGGGAGAAGGGGTGGTGAGGGGGTGCTGCCCAGGGACAGGAGGGAGCCTGAGGTTACCCAGCCCCACAGGCTGTCCCACCTCAACCAGTCAGCCTTGCTTGTTTTATAGATTAGGCTTCTGTTTAAAATTTCACTGGATCTACCTGTTGATTAAAAAAAAAAGATTAGAAATCATCTATTTATTAAAATGTACTTAATTACATGGTCATGTTCATAACATATTGCAATTTGGGATCTTGATCTAGTTAAGAGTTAGAAGGGAATCCGTGCTCCACCACTGACTGGGTATCCAATCTTAGGTGAATAATTAACTGTCACAAGCATCTCCATCTGCAAAATGGGATGATATGAGTCTCTGCTCTCCAAGGACTGCTTAGGGTTAAGTGAGATAATATCTATAAACAAAATAGTACAGGGCCAGGCACTTGGTGTATGCTGCTGTTATTATTATATAAAGGGATTTAGAAAATGTAGATTACAGGGCCGGCCCGGTGGCGCACTGCACTAGTGCGCCGCTTGGGAAGTGCGGAGGCGCTCCCGCCGAGGGTTCGGATCCCACATGCAGACCGGTTCCCGCTCACTGGCTGAGCGAGGCGCAGGGGCAACACCGAGGGTTGCGATCCTGTTGCCGGTCCCGGTCCGGTACGGGGGCGACACTGAGGGTTGCGATCCGTTGCCGGACACGGAAAAAGACAAAAAAAGAAAAAAGAAAATGTAGATTACAGAACAGTATACAGTCGTCCCTCGGTATCCACAGGGAATTGGTTCCAGGACCCCATAGACACCAAAATCCTCCAGTGTTCAAGTTCCTGCTATAAAATGACATAGTATTTGCATATTACCTGTGCACATCCTCCTGTATACTTTAAGCCATCTCTAGAGGCACTTATAATACCTAATACAAAGCAAATGCTATGCAAATAGTTGTTATACTGCATTTCTTAAAATCTGTATTATTTTTGTTGTTGCATTGTTATTTTTATTGTTTTTCTTCCTGAATATGTTTGATTCGCAGTTGGTTGAATCCGTGGCTGTCAACCCCGAAGATGCGGAGGGTCGACTGCACATGGTAAGTGTGGAATAGAAGACTTATTTTGGCCATGCACTACCCACTCACCTTTCTTTTATTAAAAAACAAAACAAAACAAAATACTTTGAATTTCTTTGGGGGAACCGCCCCTCCCAACCTCTCAGGACCCATGAACTGGGTAAGCGGTGAGCCTGGCCCCACAGAGATGGATCCTCAGTGGCCTAAGCCAGCAGGTCTCCAAGTGTGTCTGCGAATCCCTTGGGATCTCCCAGATACATTCAGGATATACACGAGGTCGAGACAAAAGATGTTACTTGACTTTTCACTGTGTTGACACGAGCATAGGGTACAAAAGCAGTGGTAAATAAGACTGCTGGTGAGTGAGCACGGATCCAGGCAGCAGCTAATGCTTGTTATATACTTTACTACCATGCATTCATGTTACATAAAAAGTCAGTAACACTTAAGAATATTCTTGAAAAAGAATATTCATTTTTATTAAATCTCAACCTGTGAACGTCTGCAAGTATTTTGAGTTGTCAACTGAACCAGCCACGTGTTTCAGGGAATACCATTTTTACTTGGAATAAAGACTGAGAAACAAACCATGGTTATTCAGACTCAGGTATCTAGCAGACATTTTCTCCAAAATGAGAGAAGTAGAGCCTGCAACTTCAAGAAAACCACTGACAAAATCTGTTGCCGATAATAAAATCAGAGCTCTTGAGAAAAAAATTAGAATTTTGCGAAATTTGTACCCAGCACCGTGAGGCTGACAGCATCCCAAAACTTACACTTGTCTAATGAGATCAGTGGGGATATTAAGGAATTTTTTGATACTGTAAAATGAAATGTGTCATCACTTGGAAGACCTACAAAACTCAGTGAACCAATATTTTCCAAGTGATTAATGCATGATGTAGTGTTGCAGTGGATTAAATTATGCCCCCCAAAACTCACTAAAGCTTGAGAAGTGTCCCCCAAGTTTTATGTATTAGAAACTTAGCCCACACTGTGACTGTTAAGAGGGTGGAAAATCCTATTATGGTGATTGAAAGGTGGAGCCTTGAAGAGGTGATTGGGTTGTAGGACCCTGCAGTAGGGAATGGGTTAATAATGGTGGTCAGGGGCGTGGTTCTGAGGGCTTTAAAAAGAGAGTGAAACAGGAGGTTAGACTGCTCTGTCTGCTCTCTCTCTGCTTCACATTTTTGCAACGTGATACGTTGCCATCACTGTTGCCACCAACAAGGCCTTCGCCAGATGTGTTCCCTGCACTTTGGACTTCCCAGCCTCAGAAACTGTAAGCAATAAATTTTGTTTTCTTTCTAAATTACCTAGTTCCAAGTATTTTGTTGTAAGCAACAGAAATGGACTAATATACATGATGTCACAAAATCCTACATGGGAAAAGATCCATCCAAAGTGGAAGACAGAACAGTGGATTGTATAACATATCAAGGTTTTGAACACTTCGCTGAAACAGTTCCGGATTCCACATTGCAAATATCTCTGTGAGACCAGATGTTCACATTATACTTTAACCTAAACAATATACCTCAACAGACTGAATACAGAGATATGCAAATCCACCTCACTTGCACTAAGCCAGATGTTAAAAAGATTTGCAAAAATATAAAAACCAATGCTACTTTTCTTACTATTTTTTTTAAATGTTGTCACTTTTTTTTTTTTTCCCTTACCAGTAAGAGGATTGTAACCCTTGGCTTGGTGTTGTCTGTACCACGCTCAGCCAGTGAGCTAACCAGCCATCCCTATATAGGATCCAAACCCACGGCCTTGGTGCTACTAGCGCCACACTCTCCCGAGTGAGCCACGGAGCCGGCCCTAAATTGTTGTTACTTTTAATAAAATTATGTTATTTATGGGTTTATGGTTTATTATGTTTATTTTTTTAGATGAATTAGCAAATAAACATTAGAAATGCTCTTCATTTTAAGTTAAAATATGGTAAATATTGATGGATACAAATAATAACTCTTTGGTGCCATGAATAATTTCTAGGAGTTAAAGGGGAGCCAAGACCCACAAGGTGTGAGAACTGCTGGACTGAGCCAAGCAGCATTCTCCACCCTTCCCACCCTCAACTCCTGCCAAAGTGCTTGGTTTAGGGGTCAGCAAACCATCCGACTTCAGCCAAGGACAGACAGACCCAAGCCTTGGCTTCTTGACAGGAGAAATGCTCACTAACACTCTCCTCCCACCCCATCCCTGGGCTTAGGGTGGAAACAATGCTGGTCAGGAGCTAAGCACAAGGCAAGAGACTGAGAAAGAAGCTGACACATAAGAACCAGTACCACAGAGGCCATGGTGACATCACTGGAGTCCCACTTTGAAGGGCTATTTTTCTAGCTGAGCAGGTGACAGGGAAACATGCTGTAGCTCAAAAGGCACAGAAACCCAGGGCAGCCTGCTCTTGAAGGCACACAGGTTGCCCTTGCAAGGGCCTGTGGTTCCATGGAATGCTACGACTATGACGTGGTCCTGTGCCTCTCCATCAACCGTTCTGACAGCACCCTTTCTCGCTGGTCTCTGCCAGCCCCTTCAAGGTGTGTGGACTGGGAGTGAACAGCCCTGAGGGTCCTTCCATGGACAGGAGCCAAACTGGTTCTGGAACTCAGGGCCTCTCTGTCTCTCTCGCACACATCCCCTTCTCTCCCCCAGGTAAGGAGATGGCAGTTGCAGGAAGTCTTCAGTTTTGTAGGATTCTATTGCATGCTTCTCTGTACCTTAACAGGGCTTTTTCAATAGCACATGGAACAGGATTTTCTTTAACAAGCTGTGGAGGTAAACAGATATCAGAGACCATGTATCATGGGCCAATGGTGGCTGCAGTGAAGTAGACACCCCCAATCTCCAGCAGACGCTCCCAGCAGTTTACTTGAGAACCCCCAGCCTCTCTGTAGTCCTTCTGGGATTCTG